CTTAGGCTTGCCTCCCACCTCCCCAACCTCCGCCCCCTCCGCCACCTCCCGCTCTACAATTGGCCGCCGACTGGTCTTCCTTTTCTCTTATCTGATCCTCGGCGCCCAGCAGGAGGGAAGAGCTGGAGAGAAGGAGGCAGCTCCTGGCAACTGGGAGGGGGAGAGGGAGCGGGAGAGGGAGAGGGGAAGGGAGAGGGAGAGGGGGGGAGAGAGAGAAGCTAATTAAAGGGGGTTCAAGGCGGGAAGCAAGCTAGAGCCGTGCGCCGCCAAGAGCCAACTTGCGGTGGAACCTGGATCTTCCCTAGGCACCGAGAGGTCCCCAACCTGGGCTGGAACCCTGCCCTGCACAGGTCAGTTATCTACCTTTCTTCGCGTTGGCCTTGAAAACTTTGTGAGGAAGGGTAAGTGGAAAGGGAGAGCCACCTGCAGATGCAATGCAATTTCCTGGACCTTGTCTACGTGCGCGCCCTGGATGGCCCCGGGACCTTTGGGGTGGAATGGGACAGTGCACCCTGATGCCTCCTCGCGGGGGTCACTGCGCAGGGAGATTGGAGGCTCTCAGTGATGCGAATGCAAAAGACAGTGACGGTACCTTGTGTCGCTCCCCAGTACTTGTGTTCTGTGAGCGCGCGGCGGCAAGAAGCGGGTCCAGCTTCGAGACAGTGGCGACACCAGCATTTCCAAGTAGAAGGGGCTTAGTAAAAGCGTCAATCTGGTGAGCAAGAGGCTTAGGGATTTGTCTTGGAGGGCTGTTTATAAATAGAAAGCACGCTGTTTCTTATTTAGCTTGCATTTGGAGACGCTTGGGAGAGCAGTAGATGGAGAGACCATGGGGGCAATTCACCCAGCCACAGATTAGTGCCGGGGACCCGGCGCTAGACGCAAGGAGGGCAGCCAGGCAGAGCTCGTTGATAAGGAGGATATTGGCGGTAGACATGCTTCGATGCCTCTGAGTCAGGAAACCCAGATGCTTTGTGCGTTTTGCTTTGGGTTTCTGGACCCAGGAGGTTTCGACTTTAAGATGCACCACCAGGCTGTGTTGGAGGGTCCTCTCCGCCCCGGCTTATCCACTTCTCACCTTGCCCCATTTTACCCCTCTGGACCCTCTCTGCCTTAAGCCTCCTACCANCCAGGCACCACACTTGAGCAGGGACCTAGAAGCCCTTAGATGATGTAGGATGTCTTAGTTAATTTGGGCTTCTATAACAAAATACCACCAACCGGGGTGACTTACAAACAGAAATATATTTCTCACAGTTCCGGAGGCTGAAAATCTGAGCTCAGGGTACCACTCTGGTGGGGTGAGGGTTTTCTTAGGATACCAGATTTGTTGTGGCATTCTCACATGGTACAAGGGAAGCTCTCTTGGGCTTCTTGTATGAGGCACTAATCCCATTCATGAGGCTTCCACCCTGATGAATCTAGCATCTTCCCCAAACTTCCACCTCCTAATACCATAATCTTTGGGGTTTAGGATTTCAACACATGAATTGTGGGGAGACACAAACATTCAGGCCATAGCACAAGAGTTAACTCTTCAACTGCTGGATCAAAGGGAGATTTGGGGTGGCGGTCCCAGGAAAGAGATGGTGGGGGGGACATTCAGGTCTGTGGGGAGGCAGCTATTACCCACCGGTATGAAACTATTCAACATTTTAACAACGGGTACAGTTGAATTGGTGTGTTTCTGCTGGATGGTCGAGCTAGCTATGTGTGGATAGAAGGAGCTTTTTATTGTTCCTTCAGGTCTCATTGCTTGGGTGAATTGAGATAAAAATTCAGCAAACACTTTTCTCCTGCCCTTGTATCTCGCCACTTCATACTCACATTTGAGGGAGAAGTCTGGTGGAGTTTAGAGCTAACGCCCACAGTTGGCTAGAAGGTAATAGAAGACTCTGAATGACAGCCCCATCACAACTGTATCCAGTGGCGTGGAAGCCATTTCCTCAAAGAACTCAGAGCTCTGTTACCCCAGGGCGTGATACAAAGTATTTAGCAGCTGGTATGCAGGGACAACAATCAACTAGAAGGTACACCAAGCCTTGACTATGGGGCAGGAATCCGAAGTTTTCCTGCTGTGCTAGGGGGTAGCCTTTTGTTACCAGCTGAGCTGTTGCAAGATCAGGGCAAATACTGAGTCTCAAGAGTAAGGATGGGGGTAGTCAGCATGAAGGGGGAACATGGGAGCAGGGCGTGGGCCACGGCTATTGTTCACAGGTATGGCGTACTGTTGTAAGTTGGTGCCTGCTAACAGCTAAGTATGAACTCTCTGTTACCAAAAGAAGAGGGGGCGGGGGCAGGCGGTGTGGATCCTGGGCTGAGGAAAAGTCATAGCTTGTTGTTACAGAGGGGTTGGACTAGAACTGCAAATAATTCATGAAGCTGGAAACTATGGTTTGCTACAGAGTGTATGAGGAAATGCGTGGTGGTATTTTGGTTTTCACAATGGTTAGGAGATGGGGAGGGTGCTACTGGAATTTGGTGATGGAGTCAGCAATAATAAATGTCCTAATGACTGATGCAGTCATGCTGTTCTACCTATAACGCCAATAGTGCCTCTGTTGAGAAATATTGCCGTGATAATTTGCTGGAGGTGGCTGCTGATGAGAGTATAGCCATTATGCAATGGGCAGAAGGGGGATAGTCCCAATTTGGGTGATAGAGCTGCCATTTATTATTTATGATGCGTTAGGTCCATAAACACATCTGTTCTTTAACCTGCATAACTATCAGCGGAGATATAATTAACCCCTTCTTATACTCAAGGAATTAGGCTCAGAGAGGCAAAATAACCTCATCAAAGTGACATAGGCAAGGGGCAGAGCCGCTTCATTTCAGGTTTGAGTCCAAAGTCTTCCTGCAATGTTTCAGGGGACTGAGAGGAGGAGAGCAGCAGAGGGTGTGTGTGTGGAGTCCTTCCAGAAAAACAAGGTCAGAGTCATATCATAAATTCAGGTGAGACTAAGAAGAGCTGTTGAGTCCTGGAATCGATTGGTGTGGGAAGCTGGAATTTTTGGATATTTGAAAAGGCCCCAGATACTCACATGTTTGTTGAGATGTACGAGTAATTTTTCCTAGATTAAGGGGCGAGACCATTAGTGAGGTCTGGTCTTGTTTCAATGATTCAATTCTTAGTATTCTACCAGACTTCGAGGGCTGACCTAAGATAAGTGTTGAATAAACTCCCTTAAAAGGTCTGGAAATTCACACACAACTGCAACTTCATGGAAACTCATTGAAACCAGCCATTCGAATTCAACATTAACTGAAGTTTATCTACATTGAAAGTGCAATGCAAGAAGTCAAAAGTTAGAGGAAGGATGAGTTAGAATTAAAAAATAATATTTTCTAGCATTACAGAATCAATATACGTTATCGCATAGCTTTCTGTAGAACAAATATGCTTCTCTATCTGCTGTATATGGATTTTTGTACACTTACTTCACATTTTAAAATCATCCTATTCCTCATTTCCTATTTTCTATAATTCCGTTATAAATACGTTGTCTCCCTCTTTACCTAAAACTTTGTGCTAACAGGCCACTACCTCCTTCAAGGTAATTACAAGAAAAGCTAAGCTTATACTAGTCCTCTACATTTTGGTAAAAATAAAAGACATGAGTAGATTTTATTAGTGAAAGGGGGGAACCGAGTATGAGCGTAGTAGGTATTTGCATGGGGGAGGGGTGCAAAGGAAAGGAGATCTAACCAAAGTGGTAGGCGTCTCCAGGAATAAATACTGCATTTCAGGGATTCTGGAACCTGTGTGTCCATCTAGGGCGGATGAGGGTCTTTCCAGTTCCCGCCCTACCCCAAGCCCCAGCGCACACACCAGGTGGCGCTCGCAGCTTTGCAGTACGGCCTCTGGAACTTTTGGACTTTGAGCTTGTCGCCTAAAAAAAAGCTGCGCTGGCTGCCTGACCCCAGAGAATTGCATTCAGTGAAGCGCAGAAGCAAACCGGCGCCTTGCACGGACCCCGCCCTGAAGTGAGGCCAAGTTGGAAAGGGACCAGTAGACGCAGGGCGGCGGTGGGGCTGGAGTGGACCCTTTCCACTCCAACAGCAGGACTAGCGGGGAAGTTCAGAGTATAGGCAAAAGGACGCAAACACCATGCAAATTCTGGGAACGCAGAAGGAACTAACAACTGCTGGGACGGTTAGAAGGTCGCAAGGACCCCCTTGAAAGGTTTCAAACGCCACAGCTCCTCTTTCTGGATTCTCAGCTGGACATGATGGAATCAGGTTCAGGGACCTTTTAAGAGCACCACTTGCGCTTTCTCTTCTCTCCATCACCACCCTTTAGCGGTGGTGAAATGCCCTCTTTTCATGTTGCCAAGGCGTGAAAGCACGTTCTCACAAAAATGGGCTCTTGATAAATTCTCAGCTTCTATACCTCCCTCCTCAACATTTGTGTGCACGTAATAAGCTGGATTGTAAAGTACGCCGCGGGGCATCTGTTTGCGCGGTTCAAAAATGGGTAACGATGATGACTTTCTAAGGAGGCTTAGAGGGTGACAGTGCAGGGCCAGTCCCTAGAGACCCGGCACAGGGCTCTGGCCCGCTTCCGGTGCCTCACATCGCGGGGTGAGCCTCTCAGAGGGCGGCCTGCCTGGATCAGAACCACCAGGGTGTTGGATAACTGGCCTCAGCCCAGACCTATTGAGTCAGGATCTTTGTGAGTGGGGACGTGCAGGTTGGGAAGTCCAACCGCAGGAAACTGCTCACATTCTTCCTTTTCAATTTACAAAAATGTCCATTTCAGTACCCCCAGGTCATTCTCCTGCACACTGAAGTTTGAAGATCGCTGCTTTGGCGTTGTATAGCTCTTGTTTAGAATTGTTCGGAAAGGAAGGGGGAGGAGCGGAGGATGGGTAACACTTCCCAGTGGGCACAGGCCCCCGAGCGCAGGGTCCTTGGAAGGCACGGTTGGTCTTTGGGAATGGGGGAGTGAGCTCACAGCACCTGTGTACCGGAGGGCCCCTAACCCTCCAAAGCGAACGCAGGGGCTGGTTTCGCAGTCCCACACGAGCCCAGGTGGGAGTGGGGGGGCAAATGAGGCTCTCCCGGCACCTAACACTCAGCTGCACACCTGGGGCGGTAGCCAGGTCTGCCGGAGCGCGTGCGCGAAGCGGGGCGGGCGCCTCAGAGCATCTCCTNTTTCTAGTGATTTGGACAGAGGATTTAGCTCATTGCACCTCAGTTTCTTCATTTGTAAAGTGAAGGGATATCAAATATACTAAGAAAGAAGAAGACTTTTGGGAGTTAGGATTTCAACATATGAATCGTGGGGAGACACGGACATTCAGGCCACAGCACAAGGGTTACCTCTTCAATTGTGAGCATACACAAA